ACAGTCTCTCCTGCCCGGGCTGGCTTTGAACCGCGATCCTCAGATCTCAGCCTCCTGAGTAGCTAGGATTACAGGCGTGAGCCACCAGCGCCCGGCCAAACTTCTCTTTCTAATCACAGCCTCATCACCAAATGGCCTGGGGAATCTGGAACCTGTTTTGAACCAGAACCTTCCACAAGGACAGAGGCTGGACGCATCTTCATTGGATAGTCATTTTAAAGATATCTCAACCACCTGCTCCTCCAACCCTCTCCACTGTCCTATGGTGGTTTTAACTTCAGATCTTGGGAACCTTAGAGTCAACAAAGGGAGCCCGAAGTTTCCCCAAGCAGCATAGATTTCTCTGGTGTAGAAGTCTCATCCTTCAGGAATAGGATGTAGTAAAAAGTCCTACATTTGGTTCCTTAAAATCTCTTGATTTTATGTTAGAAGCAGCATGTTATACGGCTTTAAAAGACCACCCAATCAACCCAAAACAAACAAAAATGTCCCTTATATTTTATGGAAATAACGGAGTATGAAGGGAAAACCATTTCACTGAACTAAGTTTATGTACATATTAACTTTGGGAGTATAAATGAGGGAAGAGGACAGTTGAAGGAAAAGTGCTAGTGATCTAAGACCCCAGAAGACCATGGCCAAATCAAAGGCTACAGGATAACATCTCAGGTTTTATCATGCACTGTTTTCCCAATCATTTCCAAATCCATTTTTGAGCTTCTAAATTACTATGAAGTAAGTAAACCCAAAAGATTTCCACTGCCTTAGTAAACACTAGAAAGGTAGAGTGACTCGTTTGAAGTCATATTTGTTGTAATGTCTATACTCATTTTCCTTCAGATGAGGATCAGCTAATCAGAAACATTTATAATCAAAAACATTTGTCAGAAATACCTTCTGAGTCCTTTACAGTTAATAACATTTTTACTCTAGTATGTGCAGTTTTACATAATCTAACTTTTGATCCTAAATACCCCACAAATGGCCAAGTTTTTATTATAGCTTTTGAAGTTAAAGTGACTTTACTCCAATACCCTATCTATGGTTGATGCCAAATAAAGCATTCTTGTAGTACAAAGGCTTCTCAGAGCCACAAAGGCCCACTGTCCATTACTGGCCTAGAGTACAAAGTCAGGCCCCTCCAAGAGTCAGCTTCTTGAAAACGCCTTTGAACCCTAGAATGAGAAAGGCATGGAGTCTAGATAATCTTGCCTAAATCCTCCCTCTCATCCTTCACTAGATTGTCAGTTCCTCAGACATTTACTTCTCCTTTGCATTCTGACAAGAAATAAGAATTTGAAGATGAGATTTTAAAAAATGTTCCTCTGTCTTACAAGAGTTATGTGTGAGCCGAGCACCAGTGGTTCACGCCTGTAATCCTAGCTACTCAGGAGGCTGAGATCTAAGGATCGCAGTTTGAAGCCAGCCCCAGCAGAAAAGTCCATGAGACTTTTTTGGGGGGTGGGGGAGGGTCAGTTGTGGGGCTTGAACTCAGGGCCTGGGCCCTGTCCCTGACCTCTTTTGCTCAAGGCTAGTGCTCTATCACTTTGAGCCATAGCTCCATTCCCTGTTTTTGAGTGGTTAATTGGAGATAAGAGTCTCACAGACTTTTCTGACCAGGCTGGCTTTGAACCATGAACTTTACATCTTGGCCTCTTGAATAGCTAGGATTAAAGGCTAGAGCCACCAGTGCCTGGCAAACTCCAATTCATCACAGAAAAAGCTGGAAGTAGTGCTGTGGCTCAAATGGTACAGTGCTAACCTTGGGCAAAAAGAGCCTAGAGGCAGCACCCAGGCCTACAGTTCAAGCCCCAGGACTTGCAAAAATAAAGTTATATAGACTTGGTAAATTAGTAGAAAAGTCTTGATTCTCATTTAAGGCCATAAATGCCTATTAAAATCTAGCAAACTAGGAAGAAAAGATAATCCATAGGCCATCATTATAATAAAATCCTCCTTAGGGGAAAAAATAAGCTTTTGTCAAAATATTGTTCATGGAAAAAAGACAACAATAGGGGGGTTAATCTGATCAATGTACAATATGTGCATATGTAAAAGACCTAGGGAAATTCCTTTGTACACTAAAAAGAAAAAAGACCATGATTAATCACAAAAAGTAAATTAGCAGGCCCATGCAATGCATCCTGCACCACCAGAAATTAGGAACTAAATTTTTGTTATCTAGTACTTTCACTTTATAAAGTACGAAATCAACAGTCTTTTGTTCAATTTATAGGAATACCATGATAGTTACATTACACTCCCCTCAGACGCTGTATGATGGAGGTAATTTGATGATGCTGTGGCTAAAATATGAGCGCATAAAACTAAGCCAACAATACATTCTCTCTCATGTTGAAAGAACTGCATGAGATGCCTTTTCTAAATCAAGGCCCAAGAGAAGAACATGTTTTCTTAGAAAGGCCTTCACAGAGACCCAGCCAGCCTCTTGGACTAGGAGCGCACGGATTCACTGAGAACCATTCCACAGTGAGCAATGCAAGGGAGTGGGCTCGTGCCTAAGTACCAGGATGCAGCGATGATACAACACGCAGACCGGCTGCCCTGAAGCCGAAACAGAAACAGAGAGCAGGAAAGGGGGCCGGCTGGAGGGCTGTGGGAATATACAATTTTAAACAGGGAGGGACACGGAAAGAGGGGTGAAGAAGTCAGCTGTGTTTCTCTCCAGGTACAGGAGGAAAACAGACAGGCCTTGAGACCAAAGCATGCCAGGAACAGCAAGGAAGCCACCTGAACAGGAACAGAAGGTGAGGGCAGATTGCTTAAGGCTTTGACATTCACAGCAAAGGGCATTGCAGGGAAGAATTCTGACCAAGGAAATGAATAGCTGTCAACCTATATGAATGAATAACTTCATATTAAAATTCGGTTTCACCAGGCACTGGTAGCTCATGCCTATAATCCTAGCTACTCAGGAGGCTGAGATCTGATGATCCAGGTTCAAAGCCAGCCCAAGCAGTAAAGTCCCCTACACAAAAGTAGGTTATTAAAGTTATTCTAGTTGTGGGTCTGGCCCCATAGACTCTGCCTTCCAGATGACGGGTCTGGGGATGGCAGCACCCTACCTGATCATTCACCAGATGGTTTCCTCATTCTGGGGACACTGGTGTGTGTTCTGGGTAATGCTCCGGGAAGAAGTGGAATGACATTCCCAGGACAAAGTCTACAAACAAGTCACAATGTTCACCATTTCCTACACAGTGCTCGTCAGGTACTAAGCTGAACTGTTTTCCTAGCTTTCCTAACTTTGCTGTTTTCCTAACTTTCATAGCAAATACTAAGGTAGATCATACTAGTACCCTGTTTCACAAGGGAGGAAACACATAAATCAAAAGTACATGTACATGTACCCAGACTACCTGATTATTAATCAGGCAATGGAATTTCAGGTCTTGTTGGTATCCAAAGACCATATTCTTTTCTTTTCTTTTGTCGGTCGTGGGCCTTGAACTTTGGGCCTGAGCGCTGTCCTTGTGCTCTTCAGCTCAAGGCGCCAAAGACCATATTCTTAACCACCAGAATTGAATGAACATAGGAGCTTCTTTCCTTACTGACATTATATGAACTTGAAGAAGTTTAAAATTGAAAGGAAAATGTAATTTAGGAACAGCTCCCCTGCCCCACAGTTCTCATTTCTAGACACTAGCCAAGCACTTAGGAAAACAGTGGAGTGGAAGAGCAGGCTACCCTACTTTATAACAATCCAATCTCACTAATTTAATCCTGTGAAAAATGCCTTTTCAGAGAAAGTCAAGCTATTCACCAGTGCAATCAGCTCTTAAAGATCTCACCTTCCAACATCATCACAATGGCTATCAAATTTCAACATGAGTTTCAGAAGAGACAAAACAGTCACCTAGGCAGGCGACAATAGCTCACACCTGTAATCCTAGCTACTCAGGAGGCAGAGATCTACGGATCACAGTTCAAAGCCAGCCCAGGGAAAGAAAGTCTGTAAGACACTAATCTCTAATTAACCACCAAAAAGCCAGCAATAGATATGTGGAGCAAGCACTAGGCTTGAGCAAAAGAAGCTCCAGGACAGCACTCACGCCGTGAGTTCAAGTCCCAGGACCGGCAGAAAAACAAAACTGCTCAGATTCCCTTCCTCTGACACAATAGCACTTTTATGAGGCTACACACCAAGTTTACTTCATCCATTTTCAACTATCTGTGATCCAAAAGTAGTTAAAAAATAGTTCATTAACCATTTAAAACTAGTATACTCTTCTGGGAAAAAAATGTATCTGGGCAGAAGTCACTACTCAAATAGAAAGATGCCAAAAGGAACAATGGGTTTAGGTGTGACTCACCCTTTCCCACCCTCCAGCCCCTGTCCAACAGCAGCCAGACAGGGAGACAAGAATGGTTCCTCCAAATGTGTCTTTGTGTCATGGAATTCACTTTTATTATAATGCAACTCTGAGGCCAAGTTTGGCTGTGAGGTCCATAAACATTATAGTTATCAGTGTTATACTTACCATAGTTATCAGTGATTTAGCTAACAATGAGGAGGAGGGAAGTAACAACTTGAGCTTGTCATTTTGACTAATTCCCTGCGTAGCTCATTCCCACCCTACATTATTGTCTATGATATAATACAATGGACAGATTCTTTAAAAGTTTTCAACAATGCTATAATCCATTCAATGTTTTCCATTCCTGAGTTAACATTCAGGTAATGCACCAGCACAGAATGAAATGGGGGGGGGGGAGGGAAGGTGCTCAGTGGTTGAGTGCTTGCCTTGCATGCATGAGGTTCGATTCCTTAGCACTACATAAGCAGAAAAAAGGCCAGAAGTGGCACTGTGGCTCAAGTGGTAGAGCACTAGCCTTGAGCTGAAGAGCTGAGGGACAGCGCCCAGGCCCAGTGTTCAGGCTCCACGACTGCCAAAAAAAAAAAAGAAGAAATGGGGGGGGGGGCTTAAATAGGAGGCTAGGAGTTAGTGGAAAACAAACTCTCTGGGCAAAGTATGGCCAACAGTCACACGTAACTGCTTTATTTGCCACCACTGCATTCATGTCCCGGCCCCCTGAGCTTCATGCCAATTAGTGAAACCGACAGGATTTGTTCTGACTAACAGCAATAAAAATGATTGTCTGTGTTGGCAGCAAGCACTGACACTGAGATCTGTATTCTCTTTCAGGCTTACTATGGACCTAAACTGGCTGGCCCAAAACACCTGTTAGAAAAATCAGACTCCTAGGACACACTTTAGATCCAACTCAGAGTTCCTTTGCTTTTGTGTTGATGTCAAACCATTCTGCTATTTCTTTTTTCCTCTGAAAATTGCACGAACAGGATTACATTTTTAAGGGAAAATAATCTACACTTTTTTTAAAAGTACAAATGCAGTTGGGTATGACGGTGGCAGGACCCTGGCTTTAAGACCAACTGGGCTGCTTAGCCACTGTGAAATTGGTATGTCCTGACAGAATTTCGGGGCACTTACTTCTTGTTCACGACCTAGTCTTACTCTTGGAAGAAGTTGTGGTTCGGATCCGGGCACACCCCCAGCATGTGAAACACGCATGCTCCAGGAGCTCCCCAGTCTTCAGTGGGGGTAGGGGGGCCGCGGGGAGGCTGAGCCCC